CCACCTCCAGGGGGGGATGCTTTTGACCTGTTTGCAAAGCCGCCCGAGCCGCCGGAGCAGGAGCCCTCGCAGCCGCCCTCCTCGGCCAAGTCCAACAGCCCCGTTGGTAAGAGCTGGGGGAGCGGGCAGGGGCCGATTTGGGCAGGTGGGGACGGTGACCTGTCCCTGCCCGTTGCAGGGAGGCAGCTCCAGGGCTGACTGGGCTGTGTGTGGCTGCTTGCTGGCGTGGCCAAAGCTTGTTCCCACCTGCCATCGTGTGTGCCGTGGGCTTGGGCTGCCCCGTAGCCGAGGGGGCAGCTCTGGTCCCTGCGTGCACCCATGTTCCCAACCCCGCCGCCTCCTGTGGCGGCTCGGGGGGGGGGCCAGCATGCCCCGCTGCCCCACCGCATCAAGCTGTGACCTGGGGTGCGATGTGCTGTTAGCCGCCCCGTGCGGTAACGGGGGGGATGCTGTCACCCCCGGTGTCTCCCAGCTGGCTCACGTGGCTCATGTCGTGTGTCCCCCCCAAGAGCTGGACCCCTTCGGCGACCTGTTCCCCAGCGCCAGGCAGGATGGGACGAAGAGCTTTGACCTCGCCAACCTGGCCGACTCCCTGCCCGAATCCGGCAAGGAGCGGAAGGACTGTAAAACCCCCGAGGCCTTCCTCGGCCCCGCTGCCTCCTCCCTGGTCAACCTGGACTCCCTGGTCGCGCCTGCACCGGCCTCCAAGACGCGCAACCCCTTTCTCTCGGGTAGGTGCCGGTGCTGTGGTGCAGGCTGCCGGCTGGGGGCTTCCCTGGGCTGGGCAGAGGAGTGTTTGGGGGGGGAGGAGGAGGGCTGGGGGTGGCATGGCTGCCCTGACGTGTCCCATCCTCTCCTTGCTAGGTCTGAGCACGCCGTCCCCCACCAACCCCTTCAGCCTCGCCGAGCAGCCCAAGCCGACGCTCAACCAGATGCGGACCAGCTCGCCAGTGCCCAGCCTGCCCACGGGCCTCCCCGCCCACTCCATCCCCCCCCCCCCCCCCCCCCCCGCCACTGCCGCCCTCCGCCCTCTTATAACACCGTCTGTCTTCCAGTCCTCTGCTGTAGTAGGTATTTGCTAGTCCCCGAACTCCCCAGCAATTTGCCGCAGCCTTTACTGCCGCTGAGCGGCCCACCGGCCGCTCCGGGGGGGCTCAACCCCTTCCTCTGAAGTCTCTGGATGTGTAGACTCTTGCCCCTTCCCCGGCTGTTA